TCAAGCCTTTATCCCACTACGTGGGGTCGGCTACATGTCCCATCATTCAAGTTGGAGTTTTATTTTTAAAGAAAAGCTTAAACATTATTTAGCTTTCAAACCACAAAATTTGAAATTAGATTTCCATTTGTTTTAAAAACATCCCAATTGAATCTAGATGCAATCTATGCATGGATTGAAAACTTTAAAAGTTACATTTGGAATTAATTGAAATCCAATTTCAACAAACTTATCGTCGCATTGAACTTCTTGACGAGAAGAACTCATTGACATCAAAATCGATTTGATTTGAGTCTAAACGAGCCTAGATCAAGCACTTTGAGTATATTAAAATTTTGGGACAATAATTGGAGAATGAAATGGAGCATCTCGATGAGGAAAATCCAATGTGGCTACAATTACGTAATTCCAACATTATCAAGGTACACAAGTGCTAAAAGAACAATATATGATCGAATGAATCAATATAATCGGTCTAATGGAGTGTTTTGAATTTCAACTATATTAATGAAGAGTGTTGCCTCAAAAGAGTATAAATAGACCTCACTTTCTACATAATTGGGGCCCTAGAACAATAGGTTGGAGAGAATTCATAGGTATAAATAACAAACAAAGATATTTAATATCATATATTAGAAAAAAAATAGATTTTATAATTCAAAACATCAATATACATATCTGTATTTACTTCCTAAAAATCATATACACAACTTAGGATCTACAAAATCATTAAAAAAAAAAGATCTAGAAAATCATAACCATTCTATCATGAGTACAAAAGAATAACTAGAACAAAAAGAAATATAATCAGAAAAATCTTAACCAGCCTCGCACTCTTACTCCCCTACCCTGACATGAAATCATTTAACCACATATAATAAGCTAAAAAATCCAGCAGACCACAAAAACTAATAACTGAATTCAAAGCACGACAAAGAAGTAATTTGCATGTTAATAATAAAATCATAACAGCTACATTCATATGATCATTGAATCAATAAAGAAATAGTTAAAATAATTGAACTAAATCACTATTTTTATAAATCAAAATAAATTTTTAAATAGACAAAAATAATTGAATTTTCAAAATCAACTGATGAAAAACCTCAAACAAATACTTAAAAAGTTCATAACTTCAATCTTTATAACATATAAAAAGTTATATGATGAAAGTTTTACCAATACAAAATTATTCGCATTTTTCGATAACGAAAACACAAATTTGATCAGAAAAATATCAAAAATATAAAATCTTTGAAATAAAAAATAACGTAAAGATTCCTTACAGTGAGACAAATAAATTTCTCAATAGGCTCGACTGATAAAAATCCGAATTTAGAAGAGAAAACAAAGGATTTTAATAAAATCTTAATGCGTTAAGATAATTTATAATAAAAATAATATAATATTTAATTTAATCAATTGTTTAATATAAAATTCAAATAAGTTTTTTTAAGACTTCAAAAATTATAGAAAAAAATACACTTAAAATAAATAATTTTGTTTAAAAAATATTGGTGAAATCAGTTTGCAAAATGGACTCGTGACAGTCTTAAAACATCTATTTGTACTATTAGGTGTTAATTTCTTAAGGATTTTCATCGGTGCCAAAAAATTACGGAAAAATTCATGCAAGTAAAATACTACAATATCAATACTATGACGAAGACGATTTAAGATTTGGAGTTAGAATGTCTCCAGGAAAAAAATTTATTTGCCTGAGTCAAAATATAGGCTATTACACTATCATTAGAACATTGCTCAACCATCTCCATTAAATCGATAACTAACTACCAACAGTAAACCATCACCCTACTACCATAGCTAACCACCAACATATAACAAATACCATCATACCACCCCTATAGAACCACTACCATTCAATCAATACTATTAGACTCCCATTATTCGTCTATTACGTCTGACCATTACAGATAGTCCATCATCATTAAAAATAGTCTCCTAGCCATCATAATCCATCCATGATTCTCCAATAATTGTAGCCCAAAAACCATTTTCTTCCGACAATAATCCTCCTTAAATCATCATCTCTTGAGTATTATCCTCAGCCACTATTACTTAACTATGGTCCTCTGAATATCATCACTTGACTATAATCTCCTAACCATTGTTGTTTGATTATAGCCCTTCAATCACCATCACTCAGCTATAGTCTTTCAAGCACCATTAGTTAAATATGATCCTTTGTGAACCAACTCTTGATTATAATCCTTTGACCATTATCATCCAACTATGGTCCTCCAACTACTATCGCATGACAATGTCCCTTAGATCACAATCACTCGAATACAATTCTTTAATAACTATTGCCATACTATGATCCTCCAACTACTATCACCTGACTACATTCTCCCAACTATAATTATCTAATTAAAACCCTTCAACCATTATTGCCTGAAAATGAGCCTCTATCCACTACTGCTCTAATATGATCCTTAGATCATTGTCATCAAATTATGGTCCTCCAACCACCATCCCATAACTACAATTCATCGGCTATTATTACCTGATAGTTGTCGTTCAATAATGATTGCACAACTATGATTCATTAGCCATTATCGATTGACTACATTCTTTTGATCACCATCGCTCAACTACGACTCTCTAGCAATAATTTCTCGATCATCATTGCTTGACTACGATCCATCAATAACTATTGCCCAAAAATAGTACATTGATCATTGTCGCTCGATTATAATCTCCTTATCATTATTACCCTATTAAGGTTCCCTGACTACCATCATCTACTAAGGTTCACCAATCATCAACACTCTACTATGATCCTTCAACTTTCTATCACCATTGTCTTACTATAGTCTTTCGACAACCATCACCCAACTGTGAGCATTATCTTATTATTGCCCTCTGACCATTTTTGTCTGACCATGGTCCTTTGACTATCATTTCTTGACTATGATCTTTTAACTAATATCCCTCGACTACAATATTTTGATCAAAATATCCCAATTACAATCATCTGACCATCAATACCTGATTACAGAACTCTAATCATTGTCTTTTAATTATAATCTTCTAATCATAATCATTTGGTTACAATTATCCGACCACAATCTCCTAATTATAGTCTTTCGATCACTGTCGCTCAACTATGATTGTTTGACTATGAAAGCTTAACTATAATTTTTTGACTAGGATCTTTCAATTATCATTACTTAATTCGAATCAATGAAAGCACGTCTCACTTGTTTTTTGAATGTGACCACTCTTTTTCTCTACTCTCTGAGCTTATTCCTTCTTCTAAAGCTCTTCTTCTTGGACCCAGTTCTCCAACTCTTGGGCTGGATTACGATCTTGAGCTCCCACAACATTATATTAACCTTCTTCTCCTTATTATGTGCTATTCGATTTACTATATCTGGAGGGAAAGAAATGAGAAAAGATTTGGTGTTCGAATGAACAGCAGAACCATCACCCGCCTAAAAATTAAAAGAGCTATCTTTGATAAATTTTGCAAGTGAAAAAATTCCACTAATATTTGGATTTCCTGTATCCTCGAATTTGTTGCTGTGGTTGTGGATGCATGCTGTTGGTTCACGACATGCTCTATTTTGCTCTGGCTTCATTTATATCATGTGCCATCCATTTATGTCTACATGCAAAAATTGTGAAGAGCTGATGGGTTTACCGTGCTCTATTTATCTCCCTGTCTTGGATTGGAGTGGTTTTAGTGTGCTGCCAGTGATGATGATGTTCTGCCTCTATTTGTATATCTCTTGGATGGTCCTCGGGCAACCAGAAATTCTCTGCGACGAATCGATATGCTGACTGATAACTTTAAACTAAGTCCTAACTAGCTCGGATGCCTCAAGTTTTTTTCATGTCTTCCTTTTTTGGTTTTGCAATCCTTCGAGCTTTTTGCGTTATATGTTCTGATTTTTTCTCTTATTATATTTTTGAGCTCCTTGCTAAACTTAATTATTATAAACTTTTACAGCGCGAGACATTCAAACGCACGGTGTTCAAGCCCATGTTTCCTTCAACTTTTTCATCAGCCGCGCATCTCACCCATTTATGCGGAACCATCCAGATAGCTTTTTTTTTTTTTTTGGGACATTTAGGCCAATTAAGGCAAACTCACACACACAACGCATACACATAGACTCGAACCTTGGACCTCTTAGTTGGAAGTCTAAGCTCTCAACCAATAGGCCAAGGAGAGTTGTGTAACCATCCAGATAGCTTCTGTGATACTTTTCTCCTCCAATGAGGACGAAATAAACACATCAAGCGTTACATGTGTTTTTGAGCAGCTGTTACTAATTATAAAATCGCAATGTTGACAGCCGAACCAAATCCCGCCGCGTGGACAATTGGTTAGCTAATTCCGGTGTTCGGTATTCTACCACGAGTACCGCAACGCACCAAGCACCAGCATTTACTCGTCGCTCAAGAACAAAATCACAATTAAATACTTAAAAATTACAGAAAAAACTATATAATTAATTATATTTTAAAATAGTATTTGAGAAATAAATTAAATAAATATATTAATATTATAAAATAATCCTCAAATTAAATAAGCATTTCTCGTCATAATATTTTAGTATTTCTTTAAATATGAGATTCGCTAATTTCTTGGATATTTAAACAGAAAAAATCAGGCAGCCCATCCAACTCCTCTTCGCGCCGCCTCGCCTGTCGCCGTTCTCCTCCTCGCCCTCCTTCTTCTTCCTCCCAATGGTCTGCGGAATCTCAGCAACCAGTTTTGTTGAAGAAGATTGGGACATCGATCAGCCAAGCCCAGCACCTTCTTCTTACTCCCAATGGTCTGCGGAATCTCAGAAACCAGTTTTGTTGACGAAGATTGGGAGATCGATCAGCCAAGCCCAGCTCATCGCATCTTCTCAAAGCTGGGGTCGATCGGCACATACTTTTTCTTTCATAGTATGAACCGATCTTCTCAGCTTTCCGGCATTGTGTCTCCGTGAAGAATAAGAGCTGAATATGAAAGGAGGAAGTTGTTACAAGGAAGCCGGATTGGATGCCTGCGTGGCCAATACCAAGCACCCGCAATGGGGTAATAAGGCCTCTTCTTCTTCACCGCAGATCCTCCGGTTCTGTTCTTCCAGATCTTTGGTCTGCGTCGTCATTTTTTCCGGCATTGTTTTCTTCTACATGTTCACATTCACCGTATCCCCTTTCTCCTGCTCCAATAACCCCATCATCCACAGTTCGGATTCCGAAGAATCCTCCGCAATCATACGCATTTCCACCTTTAACTCTTCTAGATCGTCCATGTCTTCTTCTTCACCTCCTCTTCCTAGTCATCTTCCACCTCCGGCGTCGCCTGCGACCATGCTGCGGCACATTGTGTTCGGCATCGCGGCGTCGAAGAATTTTTGGGAGAGTCGAAAGGAGTACATCAAGATCTGGTGGCAGCCGCGCAAGATGCGTGGATTCGTCTGGCTCGATGAGCCTGTAAACGAGCCGAGATCCTCTGCTTCATCCCTCCCGATCATCAAAATCTCCGCTAATACCTCCAACTTCCCCTACACCCACAAGCACGGCTCCCGCTCCGCCCTCCGCATCTCCCGAATAGTCGCCGAGACCGTCCGCCTAAACCTTGCTGACGTTCGGTGGTTCGTAATGGGCGACGACGACACCGTCTTCATCCCCGACAACCTCATCCGCGTGCTCAACAAGTTGGACCATCGTCAACCCTACTACATCGGCTCTCAATCCGAAAGCCATTTACAGAACATCATCTTCTCTTACGCGATGGCATACGGCGGCGGTGGATTCGCCATCAGCCGCCCCCTTGCAATCTCCCTCGCTCAGATGCAGGATAGATGCATCCACCGCTATCCTGCTCTCTACGGCAGCGACGATCGCATCCAAGCCTGTATGGCGGAGCTGGGCGTCCCCCTTACTCGCCACCCGGGCTTCCACCAATTCGACGTCTACGGCGATCTGCTCGGCCTTCTAGCCGCCCATCCCATCGCACCTCTCGTCACTCTCCACCACCTCGACCTCGTCGACGCTATCTTCCCCAATTCTCAATCCCGCGCCGAGGCGATCAACCGGCTATTCGACGGGCCAGTCCGGCTCGACTCTGCGGGTGTAATGCAGCAGTCTATTTGCTACGATGTGAAGCGGCATTGGACGCTGTCGGTGTCTTGGGGGTTTGTTGTACAGGTGGTGAGGGGAGTAATGTCGCCGCGGGAGATGGAGAGGCCGGCGAGGACTTTTCTGAATTGGTATCGCAGGGCGGATTACAAAGCATATGCGTTCAATACTCGACCGGTTGCGAGGAATCCATGTCAAAAGCCATTTCTGTACTACCTCTCATCGTCATCGTTTACTAACTCCAGCGGCATGACCGTTACCCGATACAGTCGGTACATGGAGCAGCCGCATCCGATCTGCCGGTGGAAATTGCCGGACCCCGCCGTGCTTGTCAACGAGGTCGTCGTCTTCAAGAAACCAGACCCCGCTCTCTGGAACAGGGTAAGCTTCCCATTGTTTTTGTCTTGCGGCTTATGGCCTGAGCTAAACGCAATTTTTTTTTATTTTAATATCTCATATATTTTGTTCTTCTCCCTCATAATTAATTATTATTTTGCACACTTAATGGGTTATTATTTTGCATCTTTCTTGGTAAAAAATTAGATATCTCATGATAAAAAAATTAGTAGGGATTAATGTTAAGATCTTTAGCTTTTCTTTAAGATGAGATAATGCATTCGCTAATCTTGTAATGAATTTAAAATTTTAAAAGTCTTCTTTGACTAAAAATTGATCAGAATATCTTGACTTTGCTATTAAAAATTAAAATTTTTGTTATATATATATATATTAGAAAAATATCTATAAGCTTCAATCAAACTAGCCCAAGTGTGTTTGGAATATACGGGAAAAGGTTGGAGTAGCTCCAGTGGAAGATAATATTGTAGAACGGTTTCACTTGAGAAACCAAGAACAGAGAGAGAAGAAACAGAGCTTGAAGAAGAATAGAAGAATCTTATTTCGTTACCCTGTACAATACACATATGACTTATTTATAGATTTATTTCCTGGTTACATAATCAGCTACAGGTTTTGTTATTCTCACTAATATCCCCCGTCAAACTGATGGGTCGAGGAGCGACGCTCAGTTTGTCTCGGAGATACTGAAAACGTGGTGTTGTGAGAGGTTTGGTAAATATATCTGCGATTTGGTCGGTGGTACTGATTGGAAGAAGCCTTAATGTCTTTTGCTCGATGTGGTTCCTAAGAAATCGATGATCGATTTCTATGTGCTTTGTGCGAGCGTGAAACACAGGGTTGTTTGCTAGCGCTATCGCCGAAGTGTTGTCGCAATAGACGTCGGTAGGTGACGACTGGGAGATGCCAAAGTCGGAGAGAATGCGTCTCAGCCAGATGACGTCCGCCGTTAGAGCAGCAAGTGCTCTATACTCAGATTCTGTTGAAGATCGAGCAACTGTATGCTGTTTCTTTACGGTCCAAGCAATGAGAGATTTACCGAGGAAAGAGCAATATCCGGAGGTTGATTTCCTTGTGATAGGATCCCCGGCCCAGTCCACATCTGAAAAGGAAGTGAGATAGAGGTCAGATTTAATGAGGGGAAGACCATAGTCGGACGTACCTTGAATATATCGAAGAAGGCGTTTGAGGAGGTAAATGTGTTGTGCGTCTGGCTTATGCAGATGTTGCGACAGTTGATTAACACTATAGGCGATGTCAGGCCGAGTGAGGGTTAAGTATTGAAGAGATCCTGTTATTCTGCGGTATGTAGTATCATCAGAGAGTATATTGTCCGGTGTTAGATTTTGCGGAAGCTTTGTGCACGTTGGGTTCGACAGCCCTTTGCATTGTTGGAGCTGCACCGATTTTAGAATAGATAAGGCATATGATTGTTGTGAAAGAAAGAATTGGGTTTCTGTTCGTAAAATATTGATTCCAAGAAACATGTGGGCTTCACCGAGATGCTTCATCTGGAATTTCGTGTTGAGCTGTTGTAAAATTTGAGAGATAAATGTTTCATTATTTCCGGTTAGCAGCACATCATCTACGTATATGAGCATGTAAACTCGAATTTGCTGTTTGTGGAGGATGAGTAGAGAAGGATCGGAGGAGCTGTGCTTGAATCCCATGGAGACAAGAGTTGACGTAAACATGTTGTACCATTATCTCGGGGCTTGTTTGAGACCATATAGCGCTTTGTGAAGATGACAAACATAATCTGGGTTAGTTTTGTCCTCAAATCCGCGCGGCTGTCTCATGTAGACAGTCTCTTCCAGCGTCCCGTGCAGAAACGCGTTTGCCACGTCTAATTGTTGAACTTTCCAGTTGTGATGGAGAGCTATGGTTAAAAGAATTCGGATTGTTGGGAGTTTGGCTACTGGGCTGAACATCTCATAGTAGTCAATTCTGTATTCCTCGTGATTCCCCTGAGCTACGAGGCGAGCTTTATGTTTTGCAATAGACCCGTCGGCATGAGTTTTAGTTTTGTATGTCCATTTACATCCAAGGACGGATGAGTTGGGTGGCTGCGGTACTAAACTCCATGTGCCCTGTTTTTGCAAAGCATAGAACTCGGATGCCATGGCATTTCGCCATTCGGGATGCTTGCTTGCTTCAGTGTAAGATGTAGGATCAGAATGCCTGTACATCTGAGTAGTTAGATGAAGTAAATCAAGACGATTTCGAGGCCTGAGAGATCCAGTACGTTGCCTTGTAACCATAGGGTGCGTAGAACCAGGTCTAATTGCAATTTCCTGAGCGGGATTAGTAGCCACTGGTTGTGGCTGTGAAGGTTGGGGTATGCACACCCTGGGATTAAGTTCATTGGTTGCTTGCCGAGAGCCCTGGGTTACGGTTTGCTGTATGGGTTGAAGTGAGAGTTGCTCCGGGATTAGAGTGAGGAGACCAGGTGGTATATTTGTTATCTGCATAGGAGGAGATTGTATAGAAGAGTTAAAAGGAAAATTAAGTTCATTGAATTGTACATGGCGAGAAATAAGAGTTTTATTAGTGATGAGATTCAGGCATTTGTAGCCCTTATACATATCAGAGTAACCAATAAACACACAGCTGTTTGGTTTGGTTGAAGTTTGTTACGAGAGCTGTGCGGTATGAGCGGGAAGCACTCGCATCCGAATGCGCGAAGATGCTTGTAGTCCGGTTTGGTATCATTAAGTAGTTCAAACGGAGATTTATTATTTGTGTTGGGAGATGGCATGCGGTTAATCAGATGAACCGCAGTAAGTACTGCATCCGGCCAGAACGTGAAAGGCATGGCCGCCCGATGAAGAAGTGTTCGCGTTGTTTTGGTGATATGACGATGTTTTCTTTCAGCCACACCATTTTGTTCAGGTGTGTGGGGGCACGAGCTTTGATGTATTATGCCGTTGTTTCGAAGAAATGCAGTAAAGGATTTGTTCATAAACTCTCCACCACCATCAGTGCGAAGATATTTAATTTTCCGAGAGAGGAGATTTTTAGCTTTAGCTTTAAACACAAGAAAATTATGAAAAACTTCAGATTTGTGTCTCAACAAAAATAGCCATGTAAACCGCGTGTAATCATCTACAAAAATCAGATAGTACAAATATCCGGTGTGTGAGGATGTAGGGGCCGGCCCCCACACATCCGAGTGAATCAATTCTAGTGGTGCACTGGATCGGTGAGCAATCGTGTGAAAAGGAAGTTTGTGATGTTTGGCAGTAATACACCATTTGCAAAAATTAAAAGAACAATTTATTTTGAGTCTAGGATTGCAAGAAGCAATGCGAGCAAGAGTTTGTTGATTTGGATGTCCAAGACGGTCATGCCACGGAAGCGAGCTAAGAGTCTTCGTGTGTAGGGCCGTTGGGTTGTTGTTCGCAGGTGGAGTCTGAAGGTGATACAAACCATCAGTACATGGTCCTTGAAGAATGATTGGATGAGTCGTCAGATCCTTAAAAGAATAGCCATTAGGATAAAAAATAACCGCTAAATTATTGTCACGAGTTAATTTAGAAATAGATAACAGATTGTATTTGAGAGATGGAGAATGAAGAATGTGAGATAAGAAGATCTTACGAGAGGGAGTCGGTAGCAATCCCTTGCCGGAATTTTCGATGCTAACCGAACTCCCATCACCTATGGTGATATTGTCACTGCCTCGATAGGGAGCTGAGATGGACAAATTTTCTAACGAGTTTGTCATATGGGATGAGGCTCCCGAATCAAGAAACCAGTCGGTGGACGCTGGTGAGGATCCTGCCGCAAGTGCCCTGTTTTGATTGTTGTTAGATCGTGGAGTATACTGCGGATTCAGACGATGCCAACAATCCTTCGCAGTGTGTCCACGTTTTAGGCAGATCTGGCATATGACAGTATTCTTGCTGGATGTGTCTTTGTTGAACGAGGCAGGTTGAGGTGGTCAACCGCTGGTTCGTTTTCCTCGACCGCGCATGGTGAATAAGGCTTGCTGTGTATCTTCTGTCGACGTGATGCGGGATGCATATGTAGCAACATGAATTTCTTCGCTAAGTAAAAGCGGATACAGTTGATCCAGGCTTAGCGGTGTCAACATGGTGCGGATTGAAGTCTTAAACGACTGATATGCACTTGGGAGGCCATTGAGGATGTACAGGATGACGTCCTCCGTGTCCACTGTCGACCCAGCCGCTGCAATTTGATCGACGATGGATTTAATGTCTGTTAGGTACTGCGTCATGGTAGAATTCTTGAGCGAGATGTGATGAAGTTCGTTTTTCAGTTGAATGACTCGGGATCTATTCGACGACTGAAACCGAGTGGCCAATGTAGTCCAGATTGAGGAGGTGGATTCGAGATTAATGACAAACGGAAGGATCGACGGTGAGATCGTGGCACATATTGCAGCTGCTAAGTTTTGATCGGTGAGGATCCGTTGGTATAATCCGGATTCTTGATGGTGGTGCCGTCGGAGCTCGCAATAGTTTGTGCCGGAGGCGGAAGCGACGGATCAAGAAAGTTGTCGAATCTGTTTGCACGAGTAATCTTGATAATTTGAGACCTCCATACCGAGTAATTTTCGGTGGTAAGAGGCGCTTGGATGAAATTCTTGAGATTGCCAAGAAGAAATTTTAGAGATGGGGAGATTCCGGTAATGTTAGAGGTTACCGATTCAGATCTGTCGACGTGCGTAGACATGGCCGAAGCATCCATGGTCCCAAGAAAATCAGACTGTATCTGATACCATGTAGAACGATTTCACTTGAGAAACGAAGAACAGAGAGAGAAGAAACAGAGCTTGAAGAAGAATAGAAGAATCTTATTTCGTTACCCTGTACAATACACATATGACTTATTTATAGATTTATTTCCTGGTTACATAATCAGCTACAGGTGTTATTCTCACTAATAAATATTAGAGAGAGTCGTCTTCCGATGAACTGGTTAGCAAAATAGATGTATTAGATTTGACTTAATTAAGAAAGATAGAGATAGATCTAAAAAGCTTGGTTAGAAAATATTAGAAACGAAAATTTGAATGAAAATTTGACTCTTAACAGGACACAATAACAAAAAAAAAAAAATCATGTAGTCAAACCCCATGTAGTATGATTAAGGCTCTTTGTTATTGTTATTGGGCTAATAATCAAAGACAAATACAAACCCATTGAAATTGAAATAACGGCCTTCAATATATTATACCTGCTTGATTTAAAATTTTCTATAAAGGATATTAATTTTTCTCCTAAAAATCATGCTTGCTTCTTCTTCCATGTGTGCAGGCGCCAAGGCGAAACTGTTGCAGAGTTATCTCGTCTTCCAAGGCGGGGAACAAGAAGGCCATGACGCTCGAGGTGGGCGTCTGCCGTGATGGAGAGATTGCTGGGGCGCGGTAGACCTTATAACCTTAATTCTCCCAAGATTACTTTGATATTTTTGTGCCTAACTTTAACGTCTTTCCCCCCTCTCTGAAGTGTTTCTTCATCAAATGGTGGAGAAATTGAGCAAAGATTTGCTGATGTTAGAACATAGATTTGAGAGGATGAGAGGAGAAAAGATGGGGAGCATGGAATGAAATAGTAAAGTTTATAAGATGGTATCAGTGGTAATAATGAAATATATTATATTAAAAAATTATATAAATGATAAAAATTTTATATCAAATATATAAACAATAAATAGATAAACTAATATAATAGTTTATATATCGATTCATTTTATATATTATAAAGTTAATGGAATCTAGATAAACTTCATAGCGTGGCAAGCATAAATGAATTCAGATAAACTTTATAATGCATAATAAAAAATATAAAAATAAATAGATAAAAAGTAAATATTATCAACTAAATAAATAAATATTATTCTTATTATAAAAAATAATAAAAATTTATTAAAAAAATGTGTTGTATAGTGTGCACATAAAACTAAAGATAGTGTTGTGTTTTGAATGATTTAGTTTCACATTAATTGTGAAGTTTTATTTTGTATATTTTATTTAGCTTTTGTTTTTACTTATGTAATGAGTTCATATGGAGTATTGGAGCCGAGAATGTTGAATTTAATATTTAATCATGTGTTTAATACAAATTTAAAAGTTTTATAGTAATATTTATATTAATTGATTAAGATTAATATTAACAATTTTATTTAATTATTTAAATTATAAAAATTGAATCGGCTGATTTTAGTAAATCATGACCGGTTCGCCAGTTCCTCGGCGGTTCTAACTGAAACCGGCCGGTTTTAAGCAAGTTGGTTTTCAAAGCCATAGAACAAATATGAGTATATAGAATGAAATATTAAACTTTATAAGGTGGTATGGGTAGGAAGAAAGAAATATAGGAGTGTTACATTATATTTGTTATTGAAATTTTATAAGAGTGGTAAGAATATAATATTAAAGTTTTGGGTGTTAGATAAATTAATAGTATGAAATAAAGTGATATGTATATAAATCTCCCTAAAATTTTAATATTAAAGTTTTGAGCTCGAGCTTGAGTGGATTTCTGAGCTCATTGGATTATCATGTTCGAGTTCTATTTTGAAGATGCTCGGTCATTTACTCGTCGAGCGGCTTTATTGTGTGCGTAAGGCGGGCAGAGGCCAATTGCGAAGCGACTAAGCAGGCGACCGAATTGCTGAATAGGAAGGATGTATAATTGAGACAGCTAATATTTATTTTTGAACTGAATCACCAAATAGGTATAGTTTTCTTTCTTTCTATGTGTCCTGGCCCATAAATAGGTGATAGATCAAGGATAAATGAGGAGTGGTTGGATGGATGGCCGATATTGAATCCCTTTATCATAGGCCGTTCGTCAGACATTTGAATGTCTTAGTGATGTCGAAAATTGGCAATCTTGGGATCGTTGGATTCGTCTCGTCGAGCCGCTCGGTTCGACTATAAGCACATAATGTTTGGAAACCGTTTGGTAATTCAAATTGTGGTTCGAACTATTCAACAGCGCTTCGGGTCCTTGATTTGGACTCATTTGGGCTCTCAGATTGAGTCGAATTTGGTGCCGTTGGGTTCGTATTTCTGAAACGTTTAGTTTGACTGTAAGTTTGCTAAACGGAGTTCTAGTGGTCACAATTTTAATTTTCGGAAGTTTCCAACTTGATTTTGATCGAGATCCGTGCTCGATCAAGATAATTTTTTTATGACGTAGCAGTTCTATTTTTATCAGCCTCTTTGAAATTTTATTTTGGAGTTTTCTTCATGCCAAGTTAGATCAAGAGAAACTGGCAAAGTTGTTGAAGCTGAAAGGTTTTTTTATATTGAAAATTTCTCTTATTATATTAAGTTTAAAAATTGTTGAAATTTTATTAAGTATGTAAAAATCCCTTTTTTTTCTTGTCCAAGATTTGAAGGAATGTTTTTACTATCAATTTTCCTTTGATAAAAAGCTGCATTTTTTTTATAACTTCTGATTTTTGTAAACTTTGTTATTCAGAACTGTTATCGCTTATTTGAGTTTGTTAATTAAACTATTGTCTTTATGAAAATGCAATATAACTATAATGCTATATTAATCATATGTATATATTATGAAATTTTATAAGATTTTGTATTATTTTTTTCTTTTATTACAAATTTTTTAAAATATTGAATGAATGGACTTAGGTCTTATTTTCCCCCCATAAAAGAGGCTTGGAGGTTGAGGTTATCTACTTAATGCCAAATTAAAATTTGCTATAAAACATTGAGAGTTTTAAACTACCTTACAATAAAATTTTTATAAAAATGCCCTTCTATACGAGCTTGCAATTGGACAAAGCTCGTGCTAACGAGCTGAGTTCGAGCTTGAGTTTCGGACGCACGGGTTGAGTTCGAGCAGCTTAAAAAATTAGAGAGTCGAGCTCAAACTTGTTATTGCTCGAGCTTAACTCGACTCGTTTACACGTCTAATCTAGCTTGAGGGACTCATCATGTTGACACCACTGAATAAATTGAGTTGTCTTGGACTTGGCCCAAGTGAATTTGGGTGTTTAGTTAATTCCTCAAAATTTTCATCATTCTAAAAAAAAATTCTAATAAAAAGATAAATAAATATTATTCTGATTGACTTGCATCATTCGTAATAGGAGTGTTAGTATTTGACACGACCCAAAAATAGGACTTGAACCCTACCTGAAAATTTTTAATTTGGGTCGGCCCAATAAAGTAATGGGTCAGGTTTGGGTCCTCGTTAATAGTTCGGGTCGGGTTTAAGTCAACCTGACAACCCTGATTTGACCTGAATTGACTCGCTATCTATCACCGACAACTCGTTGTTGTTGTTGTTGCCGCTGAATTCTGCACACACCTGACTCCCCTAGCAGGCCTAGCCCAGGAAAAATTATTTTGTGTGGACATCGAACGCTGTTTAGAGCCCAATGAAATGCGCCATGTCACTCGATACTGCTCAGTACCGCAGTTCGGTACCAGGTGACGTGGCACATTTTTATTGGCCTACGGACTTTAGTTGTGTCTGGTGTCCGCATAGAATAATTTTTCCTAGCCCAGACTACCATACCTGAGACCCGATTCGACAACTTGTGCTTGACGCCTCGACGGAATTGCAAGCTCCAAGTAGCAAGCCCCGCTCCCGCACTCGCGTGACTGCGTCGGACGCGACTGGTGCTTTATAGTCAAGTCGACCTCTACTGAGACATTGAGTTGCCTAGCCCAGGAAAAATTATTCTGTGCGGACATCGAACGCTGTTTAGAGCCCAATGAAATGCGCCATGTCACTCGATACTGCTCAGTACCGCAGTTCGGTACCAGGTGACGTGGCACATTTTTATTGGCATATGGACTTTAGTTGTGTCCGGTATCCGCATAGAATAATTTTTCCTAGCCCAGACTAGCAGACCTGAGATACCGATTCGACAACTTGTGCTTGACGCCTCGATGGAATTGCAAGCTCCAAGTAGCAAGCCCCACTCTCGCACTCGCGTGACTGCGTCGGGCGCGACTGGTGCTTTACTAGTCGAGTCGACCTCTGCTGAGACAATGACTTCCATTGCCGCCAACTCGTGCTTGATGGAACGGCAAGCCCTGCACTCGTGACTCTTCATGCTGGAGCACTCGCGCTGGACGAAACCTAAACCCTATTCCAGGTTCATAGGTCGGGTCGAGTCAACCCTAACTCGCACAGGTCGAATCCGAGTTGAAAATCCTAACCCATTTGTAAAATCGGGTTAGGTTCAGATCAACCCATTTATGTCTGAGTCAATTCAGATTGGATCAAAACCCGACCCGTTGACCCAAATTAACACCCCTAAATCGTAAAGTTGATTTTTAGTTCTTTGCACGGGTTAATATAAATACAGACCAAGGGCATTCTTCGCTACTTTTTCCTCCTTTGCCAGCTTCTTTCTTTTCTAGCTCCTCTTTGCAAATTATTCTCTTCAGATGGCCGAGAAGAAGCATTATTCTTCTTACTTTAATGTTGGTGCTTCATCGTTGCTCTTGTAATTAAGATGCAAAGGAATATGAAGCTTCAAGAGATTCATGCCGGATGTGCTCTTCGGTGGGCTGAAAAGAAGTTGGCTCCCTTGACACTAGCTGAAACTTTCCCTAATAGCCCTAATTGGGTTGACATGCTAAGGTGCCCTACTATTGAACCTATTCCACATGGAGAAAATTATGCCCCCTACAGAGGCTCTTATTGGAAACCCTAAGCATGTGATTACTAAGGATAAATCGGGCTCCTAAATAATTTGATGTCACAACTTTGGTGCGTACAAACCTCCTTAAAAATTAGAGATTATTAGGTGCGGAGTGTGGACGATGAGAACCGTCCGCACAAGCATTGAATACCTAGCGGTACCCCCACTTGGTACCGCTGGATACCACTAGGTACCCAGTGCTTGTGCGAACGGTGCGCACTCCGCACCTAATAATTTTTTCTGCATAGGGGATCAATAGGGGCTAATCTTCTTGAGAAACTTGTTGAAGTAAATGTTGAAGGAACCAGAAGCTGGAATCTTTAGAATTAGAGCCTTGGGATGCATGGCTTGACCCGTATCATTTCATGAGGTGAAAATGTAGTCGTTGCTTGGCCTATGAGTGTAAAGGACTTTATGACGGCGGTTAAATATCTTAAAACTTCCCTACAATTAAAGGGCGAATTATTACGTCCGGTCATTTGACCGAACATCCGGACACCCAATCCAGACACGCAATGTCACCCAAATACACTGGGCCCCAGTATATTTAGATGACATGGTGCGTCTGAATTGATGTCCGGACGAATCCGGACACCGGACGTAATAATTTGCCCAATTAAAGGGATAGGAACATAATTTTAAAATGCTAGGGATTCATCCCTTTTTGTATGATGAGGTCGCCAATGAACTTCATTGATAATTCTAAGAGTTTAAGGCTATAGTAATCTCTATTCTCAAGTATCAATTGTCTTGATCTAGCATATTCTTTCATTCTAGCTCTAGTCTTTCAAAATCCCAGCTTATAAAAGTCAATCTCAGCCATACACATCCATCTCAAAAACTCTCTCTCAACACACATACACATATATCTCATATCTTATGTTTCATTTGGGACATCTTTCTTACTAGCTTATAAAGTTATTTTTTAATACAAAAATGTTTGAAAGCTAGAAAAAAAAAGAGCAGTGATTTAAAACTGTCCCAAACGAAACCTTAGACATCATATATAATATTACAAATCTATTATATCGACTAGATTATAAAACATTTCAAATAAACCAAACAAAAACACATTCGATTATTTCCAATCTAACTCTAGCCGCTAAGACGTTTCCCATAAGCCACATCTACTGTAACTTGTGTGGCGCACTCCCTTCATGGACAAATAATTAGGTTCGGACATTGGACACGGATAATCATTCGGATTTCTCTCTGCTATAGCAGCTGCATTTTGACTATGCTTTTATTATAGACAAAAAAAAAAAAAGATTCAGATGATTCTCTCTATCCGGATACCGCAGCTAATAATTTGCCCCCTTCATGACCCAATATAACTAACCCGTGAATCCACAACCATCCCTTCCTGCCGCACGGGTCGCGCTACGTTTCAATTATTCTCCTTAACCACCAAAACTTCACCTGGCAACAACTCTACCACTCGCCCCCACACTCATCCCCTCACCGGAAAAATCCGCCGACATATCATCCGCCTTGGCCAACGCATACACCACCTCAACCATCGTCGGCCTCTTCCCCGGCTCCCTCTGCAAGCAAGCCTTCGCAATCTTCATAGCCATCACCAAACTCTCCACCGGACACTCCTCCTCCGCCACCGCCAGCGCCTCATCCATCCACTCCTCCAGTTTCTCACCTTTCCCCCATCCCTCCGCCTCCACCCAAAGCATCCTCCCTTCCTCCGTCACCGCTTCCCTCCCCGTCAACAACTCCAACATCACCACCCCGTACGCAAACACATCCATCTTCGTCGACACGATCCCGTCGGTTATATACTCCGGCGAGACGTAGCCCTGCGTGCCGACGATGTGCGTCGTGACGGCGTTGTGGCCGCTGCGCGCGAGGCCGAAATTAGCGATCTTGGCGCGGAGGCGGGAGTCGAGAAGAACGTTGCTGGACTTGATGTCTTTGTGGACGACGCGGGGCAAGGTGTGTTCGTGGATGTATTGGAGGCCGTGGGCGAGGTCGAGGGCGATGCGGAGGCGGCTGCGCCAGTCGAGCTTGTGGGGGCGGCGGGAGTGGCCGTGGAGCCAGGAGTGGAGGGAGCCGTTTGAGACGTATTCGTAGACGAGGCAGCAGTTGCCGGGCTCAGGGTCGATGCAGAAGCCTTCTAGTTTTACTAGGTTTGTGTGGTTGACCTGCACGAAAGTTTATTTAATTGCATCATGAGATGATTGTTAAAATAACTACCATTAATGATCCAAATTATTTTATTCGTTTTCAGTTTAGGGTTTAAGAGAATTCAAAAATTAGTGAAATATTTCATTTCTATCATTTATATTTAATATGAAAATAAAATATGGTTGGTATGTATATAATATTAAAGTTTTAGGTGTTAAATATGTAAATAGAATAGTATAAGGTGATATGAATGTAAATCTTCCTTTAATAATGATTGAAAGTTGTCTCAAACAAAATTGAAACGTGAATATAAGTTGAGTTACATAGGACCATTCTTAGAAAAATATATGTTTATGATTCTTGAGTTGATATTCATTAATCTTGAAAATCTAATATGCATTAATCTTGAATATAGTAGTTAGGGCAAAATTTTAAACTTATCACAATTTAAGAACTAATTAGCGAATTAAATATGTTTAAAAATTAATTTGAAAATAGTCATAGTCGCTCGTTGAATGGGCGATTATGTCGGTTTATTGACCCGTCAACGCCACCTGGACTCCAAGCGGATAGAAAACAAGTGACTTAGGTGGCAGGAGTAAGTCGCCTAAGTCGCTCGTTGGTCAGACGATTTATTTTTGTCATCTAAGCTACTGATATTCGATCTGCTTGACATCTATGTGGCGTTGATGGGTCAAAACAGACATGATCGTTAGTTTAACAGGCGAATATGATTATTTTTAAATTAATTTTTAAATGCATTTAATTTGCTAATTAGTTCTTAAACTATGATTATTTTTAAAATTTGCCTTGGTAGTTACCAATCTTGAAAACCAAAATCAAATCTTATTCTAAACTAAAATTTACACCTAACATTCTAATATTACATCATATAATTGTTTTCTTTTTCTAAACTCAAATTGATCAAAATCTATTAAAACCTACAATTAGATGTCATCAACACAAATTATTTTACAAAAATTTTGTGCAAAACACTTCTGAACCATTTCTGCTTCCCAATTCAAACCCCTAAACAAAATTTAATTCACCTTTCTAATGACCAGTTCCTAACCAGCAACTATAATTTATTAAATAATTTGAGAAATTCAATAATATTATCATCGCCAAACGTAAGAATCACAGCAGATTTTAATTAAAAAAAAAAAAGTGATTAACAAACGGAACAACTGAAATGGAATTAACTAACCTTCTGCAAGATCTTGAGCTCGTCAGCAGCATTCCACTTCATCTTCTTGATAGCATAAACCTCTCTACCGATCTCACCTCTGTAAACCGATCCACAAATCAAGCAATTGCTGTCGAAATCCGCAGTAGCCTCCCTCAACTCTTCGATTTTGTACAGCTTATACCTATCAAGCCATTCAGAAATATCCATTATCGGCTTCTGCTCCGACGATCCTCCGATCTTCTTCTCCCCCAATTCCTTATCGGTTTTCCTCGTCCAACTGCATCGCTTTTTCAACCTGCTGATTTGCAGTAGCAGCACCACCCAAAACAATCCCATCACGCCCAAAGCTATGGACAATCCCACCACCGCCCCATTCAAATGCCGTTTTCGGGACGGCGGCGGCGCTGATGAACTCATGGAGTATGGGGGGATTCGGGAGACGGGGATCAGAATCGTTGAGTACGGTTGAACGGATCCTTCACGGCCGTTTAGATCAATTAGGGTTTGAACATCAGATCCGAATCTGGATGCGATGGATGCGTAGGAGTCGGAGGGTTGGAGGACGTAGGTTATGATGAACTGCGATCGGTTTTTAGGGCACTGGCAAAATATGGGAAAAGTGACCATTACCCCGATGGTTAGATTGGTGGGCACGAGGAGGGGGTTCGCGTCCTCGACGGCGGGGTAGGAGGTGAGATTGGAGAATTGGAAGGTGGAGACGAGGTAGTAGGTGTCGCCGGCCCGGATCTGGTAATCGACGGGGGAGTAGGAATGGTTGGAGATGCAGGAGCAGAGGAGGGGAATGAGGAGCGTTTGGCCGTAGCTGAGTGCTGCAGTGGGGGAGGAGATGTTCGTGGCGCGGGCAATCATGAGGCGGCTAACGCCGAATAGATCGCCGATGGAGGCGAGGTCGAGGAGGGAGGACTCGGCGCCGGCGAGGTAGAAGGCATAGGATTTGCAAGGGTAGATGGAGCGATCGGAGGAGCAGTTGTATCCGTGGGATAGTTGGGCATCGTCGGCGGCGGAAAGGAGGACGAAGACGAGAGAGTTGAGTAGAAGGAGACACAGGTGAGGTTTGCTTATTTCCATTGATTGCTTAATTGATCTCTCTGTTTTCTTGCTTCTTCTGTAAGTAAATGGTATCGGTGGCTGAAAAGAGCTCGACCGGACTGAGAGCTCGCCGGTTTCTCTCCGGCGACCATTCAAAGTATCCCTGTTAATCTTATTCCCCAAGAAATAAAAAATTCACTGATCAATCCAATGGCTGTTGGAAAGAGACGAGCAATGATAAATATTAATAAGTTAGCGATGAAACTGTGCTGAAGTATGAGGATTTGATTGAAGAAAAAGTTATCATATCGGTCTCTCTATGCTTTTGCTTATTCGAATCAACTTCTTATAATTCAGGTGGGTCCGAGGGCAAACTATCAATTCTAAGATGGAAGATTAAAATTTGAAATTCTGTCGATTAATTTAATTGATAAATAGTTTAAATGTTTTATTATTAATAAAAAATTAGCTTGATCCAACACGAATCTCAAGACATATTCAAGTTAAAAACTTTCGGAATTAAATACGAGACCATCCAAACTAACACCAAAATTGGTTCAATCCGAGACCAAATGGGTCCTAATCAAGGGACTAAAGAGTATTTAAAAGCTTCAAAGAATTAATAACAGCATTAATTGGATGATTGAATGATATCAAAATATGACACACTTATAATCAAATTGAGCGGCATGACGACAAGAATCCAACGAGCCCAAAATCACTTAATTCTGATATCATTTGTCCATATAAATATTTGACAAATACTCTATGATTGAAGGATCAAAATGAGCTGTCTAATGGAGCACTTTGAATTTGGACCTTTGCAAGTTTGAATCGTTGGCTAGAGGTGGGAGAGAGTTCTAAGGATTCAAGGATCCTAGAGTTCTATCCAAGCACCATCGCCGGCGAAATTCCATCGACCACCAGTGGAACATCGCCTGTCCTCTGATAGCCGTCGAATAACCTCCATTCGGCCGACTAAGGCCGGACCTCTGCTCAGCAACCAACCGTAGTCGGACCTTCACTAAGCCTCCGACCATCATCGGACCTTCACCCGACCTCCAACTATCGCTAGTTTACTGACTGCCACCAGAGCCCTGCCCGTCCGCCGATCGCCGTCATACCTTCACATGGCCACTGACCGTAGCTGGACCTCCATCAAGCCGCCGATCACCTTCGAGCCTTCATAAAACTGGCATTGGACGACCTCCTGTTAGCCGACTACTGCCAGACCACCTCACCCATTGACTATGGTCACTCTAACCACCATCGCTCGCCGACTACGGTCCCCTCGACCTCCGTCGCCCGATAACTATGATCATTCTGACCACCATGGCTCGTCGACTATGGTCCTCTGACCACCGTCGCCGGCAAATTACTGTCCATCCGATCTCCGTTGCCCGATGATTACGATCCCTCCAACCATTATTGCTCGTCGATTAAAATCCCTCCGGCTTTTTTCACGCGATGAGTACAATCCCTCTGACCTCTATCGCCTGAAATCTATGGTCCCTCCGACCTCCATCGCCCGCCATCTACGATTCCTATGACCTCTGTTACTTATTGTCTACGGTTCCTTCGACCTCCATCACCAATCAATTATGATCCCTTCGACCTCCATCACCCGTCGACTATGGTCCCTCCAACCTCCATTGCCTGCTTATTATGGTCCCTCCAAACTCCATCGTTAGTCCACTACGGTCCCTTTGACCTCTATCGATCCTTGATTACAGTCCCTTTGACCTCCATCGCTCGCTGACTATGGTCCCTCTGACCCCCATCGCTCGCCGACTATGTGCCCTCCACTCTCTATCGCCGACCAGCTACGATCACTCCTACCTTTGTCGCCCGCTAGCTACTGTCCCTCAGACCATCACGCCCAACTACGGTCCTGTCGGCCGAATGAGGAAAAGTCGGACTATGAGTTTCGCTGGAAGACTGACACTTATCAAATCAGCAACTACGGCCATATCTAATCATGTTTGTAGATGTTTCAAGATCCCTCAATCTGTGAAGATGGAAGGTCTGAAGCCTCATTTTCTTTGCATAGGATAGGGAGAACCCTTGACGGATGCCACGGGTCGGCCTAAATTTGCTTAAGTAACACAAGCCTACACTCTTACGAGAATAACTCTCATATCGCTAAACTATTCTAACTTGCACCATATAATGTGCTCTATATATTTTGAATTTTCTACACCGAGCTAAGGCTTTCCCCTCAAGGAAGGGCCTCATTTGTAATCAATAATAAATACTAGTAAAGCTATTTCAATTGGGCTAGGGTCTGTAATTTTTTTCCTTTTAAGGATTTTTCAAGTAAAAATTTTGGTCTCTTATGACTTTTGTACCTCTCTCTCTCATCTATCTGTATGCTGGATTTTCGTACAAAGCTTTATATCTCTCCCGCCATGAAGGTCCTAGTCCACAACAATGTTATTGCTATAATTTTGAGTATTAAATTTTTATCTTGATACTAATTTTTTTTTTCAAAAATAACTGTCTACTTTAGTTTATATGAGAGAAGTATATGACTTAAAGTACATGAGCTCGATTTTTCTTTCTTACTACAAGAAATTTTTTGTGTTAGGAAGTAGGTTTCTCAACAATTTTTAAAAGAAGTTATTTTTCTCATAACAACTTTTATCAAAAGCTACAGTCATCCCAAACAAACCCTTAAACTTAATTAAGGGTATTTGATTTGATGAGAAAAAGTAGCATAATGTAAGAGTAGTGTGTTTAAAATACTTTTGAGTTGTTTGTTTTGAGTACACTATTAATATTTTTTATTTGGCTTAAAAGGAATGCAAAGTAAAATAGCATTGTATTTGAAAGAATAGTTGATTAGAGGTGGTTGACGAAGAAGGTGGCGTTTTATGATGAGCATTGGCGGTAATGGTTGACGGCTCAACGACAACTATGGCTAGCGTTGTGGCCTTTTGTAGTCGTTGTCTATTGCATCCGGTGATGGCTGCTGATGGGAAATAATGGCAGTGGATGTTGGTGGCGGTGGTTAGTGATGGGCAAGGCGGCAAGTGACATCAAGGGGTAAACAATGACAACGATGGTATGCAATGACCAACAAAGGGCAGCGATAGTGACAGTAGTTGTAGGTGAGCGGTGATAGGCGGTCGTCTTCACTTTTATCCACGTTGTATATTTGAAATTTGCTAAAAAAAATGAGGGAATTTTAAATTCACTCAAAATTATCTAAAGCGTGAAAAGTTTACTTCCAAAATATATGCATTTAAAACACATCCTTCCAAATGCTGGAATATTTAAAACCAATGCTTTTGTTTTATTTTATACTTAAAATATAACTAATCAAGCATCCCCTAAGCTAAATGTCAATATTAAATCAATAGTAGTGCTGAATAATTGGATATATAATATGATTACTCAAAGCATACATACATTGAATTAGACATAATTTGTTGTGTAGTGCGCAATTCTAGCTTATGGTCAACTTCTAGTCCTAAAATTTAGGCAAGTTCCATATTGAGAGAGAATAACCTAAGTGAGTTCTTTTGGTGAGTATGGATAATTGGATGGTGAGTTCTTCAAGCGAATAGCCTTGGTGAGTGAATAGGTGAATTTGCATGTCCCTTGAATGAATTAAACAACTCATTATTTAGGGCCTAGTTTGGCTTGATTCTTCAGTGATAAGGAAATATTTAATCATGACACTTCCAGATTCTAATAAAATTTTGGTGAATTTATTTGTAAGATTAAGTAAATTTCGCTAGTAATGTAAATTTCCGGAGGATATCAATCCTCTGCTAATATTCACGTCGTAAAATAAGTTACGACGGATAAATTTTTCCCAAAAATGTTGCCGACAAATTTCCGGTGGATACTTTGAACATTTTCATTGATTGGAACCATTAAAAATGTTAGCATAACCAATAGATTTACATGGAATATTTTGCCAGTATTATCGACGCAATACCGATGGATATTCTGTCAGAATTACCGACAAAATATTCCCCCAGAATTATCGAGGAAATATTCTGTCCCTCGCCTGTAAGAATGATTTTCAACGTCATATCCGTCGAAAACCTACAGCTCAACAAAAAAAAAGCCCTCATCCATATAAATTCTCCTACAACATCCACAAAGAATGCATCAATATAAAGCTTATCTCTCTCGAAGTCATGTATAGTACTCCTAAAATATATAAGATATATATAACAATTGTATCAATGTCACTGAAATATTCTTAATATTATTACAAGTTTTAATACTCACATAGGCCTTCCTCGCTCGTTGATTCACCCATTGTTAGTCCTCTTGGTGTGAGTGGGTGTGAGTATGCAACTGTACGATTGTGGGATCTCTTCCAAACACTTACTTCTGCAATATCTATAATATGATAAGTTTGCACTACTGTCGAGATTATTTAAGTTGAAGATCATATAAACAAAATATGTAAGTTCATATGAAATGTCATCTATGCTCAGTGCGTGGAATTGAGCTATCAATATGGAGGGTGTTGCCCATTCTAATGTTTAAAGCTCTATTATGCCTATTTTGATTTCTCCTACTATAATTTGGGCTGGCCCAGATCTTGGTTAACTCAGCCCATACACCCTCACTAATCCAAAGCAATCTCTTTCATGACTTCTTAATATCTTTAAACATGTCTTGTATGCTAGCTAGTCAAACCGTGCTTCTAAAAATACTTTATTTTCTTGGCATTGTGTTGGGGAAACTAACAAAAATCTCTATGCTTGACATTACTAGACATAACATTATGGATTAGAATAATTAGAATGGAAGTTGATTACCGTTAGTGCTGAATACTAAACTCGAACTCCTGGAACCACATGTCCCAAACTTTCCGAGGTATTTTCTTTTAGGAAAGATATGGAGCATCATACTTGCTTCGCATGATGTTATGCATCTTTTGTGTAGGTTATCTTAATGGATGAAAGCTGTAAAAAATATAAATTTCAAACTAACTATAAGAATATCAACAAAATATTCATTACTTACATGTCGCCTTCACTATATATAAGCATGCGACTATCTGTTGTGATGATCCAACACCGTCAGGTTGCTGCTCCATATATGTGGAGGGTCCACCTAGAAATGGATGTGGGAGTGATGGGCAGTAGAATGACTTTGTGTATGATGGATATGAGCAAGTGGATGGGACTACCTAAGATGATGGTGGAGGATAATAAGGGTAGAACCAAGTGTTGTGCTTGAGTCCGGGGAAGGGAATTAGGGATCTAGGGAATGAAAGTGAGGGTTGTCATCTATGGGTGAAGGCAAGGTTGGATTTGTCGGACTTTGGGTGGTG